TAGTTATTTTGAATTCTTTGTCAGGTATAGCATTAATCTCTGGTTATTTAGGATCAATTTCTGGAGATTTATTTTGGTCTTTGGATTGGATCATGTTTCCCTATTTCTTTGTATACCTTGTGATCTTTTGTTGAGATTTTGGCATTTGAAAAACAGTCACCTCTCCCAGTCTTTATAGACTGCCTTTGTGTAAGGGAAGACCATGACCAATCAGCCCAGCTGGAGATTCTGGGACCTCTCAAAATTTCTCTGGAGATATGTCTTCTTTGAGTTTGTGCATGTGATTGCCCAGTTAAGAAGTCTAGTTCCGGGGTGCCCGGGGGGCTCGGTTGGGCGTCCATCTTTGGCTCAGGTCATGATCTCAGGGTCCTGGGATAGAGCCCTGCATCGGGCTCCCTGCTCCGCGGGAGGCCTGTTTCTCCCTCTCCCTCTGCTCCTCCCCCTGCTTGTGCTCGTTCTCTCTCTCTCTTTTTCTCTCTCTCAAATAAAATCTTAAAAAAAAAAAAAAAGAAATTTTGTTCCTATTTCTTTTCATGAGCCTGTAATCTCTTTCTCTTGCTGGTATTTTCCTGAGGTATTGCAGTCTCCATAATGCTGCGACAACCTGATGCTCGCCTTTCTTCTCAGTGGCTTCCAATCTGGGAAGCAGCTATGCCACTAGTTCGCATCAGCACTTAGTCAAGTGAAACAGAATATTCCCTCAACAAGCCCTATAAAATCTTTAGACATATGTCCCAATCTTCTCTTTCCTTCCTGAAGGAAGGAGTAGGCATTGGGAATTTTCTCCCGATTGCACCATGCTGTGGGATGGGTGGGGTGGGTGAGGAAGAAGCTAGGGCAGGCAAAATGCAACAAACTTTCCTATGCACTTCAGTGTGGCTCTCTTGGCTTTGTATTAGCCTAGGTGCTGCAGCCTCTTAGTTTTCTGGAGGTCTGACAGAAGCAATTTGCTCTGTATATTGTTAAGTTGCTGTCTCTGTGGGGGACAAAGGGCTGGGGCTTCCTATTTTGCCATCTTACCGATGTCCCACCCTCTAGAGCTTTATTTTTAAGTATAATACAATGTGCTTTTTTTGGACTAAGAGCTAATTTTGCTCACTTTGCTGCAACTGAAATTTTACTTAACTTACTTAATTTACTTAAATTTTAATTGCAGATAAGTGATTGAATTGGGATATTGTCATTCAGCTTCACAATGACAATGAGAAATCATTATTTTGAGAAGATACATAAAGAAAAATCCAAAGGAACAGAGCTTTTATTTTATGTCTATATTTGTTGCTGCTGTTGTTTTACAGTCCTACAAACTTGTGAGCACAGACTCAGACTTTCTAGAGTCTTTTTTATTTATTTATTTATTTATTTATTTGAGAGAGAGAACAAACATGAGCGGGAGGAGGGCAGAGAGACAAGGAGAGAGAGAATCTTAAGAAGACACCCCACAGAGCAGGGAGCCTGATGTGGGGGCTCAATTCCACAGCCCCAAGATCATGACCCGAGCCAAAAATCAAAGGTGGACGTTTAACAACCTGAGCCACCCACATGCCCCAGAATTCCTAGACTCTTATCCAAGCTCTACCACTTTGTAGCTGAATGTTCTTGAGCAGGTCATGTAATCTTTCTTGCCACAGTTTCCTCATCTGTAAAATGAGAATAGTAAAATACCTTTCTTATAGGGTTGAGGATTGAATTTTATGCTGGGGGAAGTACCTGGCAGAGGATAAATGCTATGTAAGTACAGTTAGTTGGCCCCTGAACAACGTGGGGGTTAGGGGTGCCAACCCTCTGCACAGTCAAAGGCAACTACTAGTTGCCTACCATTGACCAGAAACCTTATTGATAACATAGAAAATCAATGAGCACATATTTTATATGTTGTATGTGTTATATATAATATTCTTACAATAAAGTAGTCTAGAGAAAAGAATGTTGTTAAGAAAAGCATAAGAGGAAATATATTTACAGTACTGTACTATATTTATTTTTAAAATCCACATATAATTGGACTTTGGCAGTTCAAACCCATGTTATTCATGGGTCAATTATACTTTTTATTGTTATTGTTTTGATTCACACAGAAAAAAAATATTACCTGAAAAAGTGAATCTAAAAATTGCTTTTTAACTTGGGGAGAAGGAAATTGAGAATCTGTGAAAGCCACTATTGTTCTTTCCTCAGGAATTCTCTTATTTTTATTTATTTATTTTTTAAATTTTATTTATTTATTTGACAGAGAGAGACACAGCAGAAGAGGGAACACAAGCAGGGGGAGTGGGAGAGGGAGAAGCAGGCTTCCCGCCGAGCAGGGTGCCCAATGTGGGGCTCGATCCCAGGATCCTGGGATCATGACCTGAGCCGAAGGCAGACGCTTAACGCCTGAGTCACCCAGGTGCCCTAGGAATTCTTTTATTTTTAAAGTGAACTCTATGCCCAACATGGAACTTGAACTCATGACCCCAAGATCAAGAGTCACATGCCCTACCCACTGAGCCAGCCAGGTGCCCCTTTTCTCGTGAATTCTTAGTTTTTTATTTATATTAAAGAAAAGAATATAAGTATAAAGAATAGTGAGACAACTGTACATATCCAATTATACTTTATGTAAGCTAATCTTGAAATTAATTTACTTTGCTTAGTATAAGTTAACGAAACAGATTCACCAAGAATAATGTGTGGCAAGGAAGAAGAATGGGTCGTATGGTATGAAAAACTGGTTACAATTGGTAGATGTTAATATTGTTAACATTCACTGGGCATTCTCTGAGTGTCAATCATTGTTCTATGTACTTGTGGTTAGTTTTTCAGGTGTGACAACACATGTAGGAGTAGATATTAGTATTATCTCTATTTTGCAGATGAAGGAACTGAGGCCCTATGTGTATAAACTCTTTGCCCAAGATCATACAACAAGTCATTGGCAGAACCAGAATAATCAATGCACAGATCATTGAGATTAACTTTTACATAGTGAAGAAAACAAGAATGTCATTAATTAGGAAATAATCTGAATTTGAAGGGAATTTAAATGTAATCTAGCTGAATCACTGAGATATTGGTGCCTATTTGATTTCAGATGACATTTTTCTTAAAGTTCAAGTACACAAGTGCACAAGACAGCCCCCCACAACAAAGAATGTTAATAGTATCAAGATTAGAAACCCTGATGGGTGTGTGTGTAGTATGTATGTATATCGATGTCATTCTAAAATACAGGGATAAGAAATTTTTAGATGATACTTTGTTTTCAAATGCAAATATTGAATCTTTGTCATTCGATTATAATTGTTTACAAACACACGGACACTTGAAAAGATTTTATAAATATGTACTGAGCACCTGTTCCTTGCCAGGTACCATGGTAGTTACTAGAGGTGGACATCATTCCTGCCATCATGGAACAGAGTATATCCTCCCCAACATCTGAACACTGAAGTTTTTATCTGCCCAAATTACACTATTTCAGAGACTGATATTTTCCCCAAAAAGAGGGAAGAAAATTGGCTGTAGACTGCCTCAAGATACAAATGCAAAATTGAATTAAATCAATTAAACGGCTCGTTGTTGGCTTGAGTAGGTTGCCGGAAAATGTTGGAAATGTCAAGCCACTGATTTTTCTTTTTTCCTTTAGGTAGTAAAGTTTCACAAATATCATTGCTGTTACTAAAAGCAGCTGTCTCTTAGGACACAGTGGGGCATTACATTTGGAATTTTTAAAATGGTCTCTTCTAGTCCTGCTTTTTTATTTAGTGACACTGTTATTGTTATTCATAATATGGCAGAGTTAGCCTTATGCATGAATGAAATGAGTCCAGGAACTTAAAAACACTCAAAATATCTATTGCCATCATGCCTGAAACTCCAGCACTTGAGAGGAGTACCTTTATGTTGGGCATCCTGCCCTTAAGAGTTTTTTTATTAAAATGCAGTTACTCCAGAAAGAAAGAGAGCAGGAGAGAGAATGTACCAAGAAGTAATGTTTGTAAAAGATTTTATTTTAAAGTTTACTGCTTTGGGGAATTAAAAAAGATATTCATTGACTTGAAAAGATATGGGGGGATGGAAAGCAGATTACCATTTATGAAGTAGTAGTTACAATATAAGATATATAATATATATAATATATATGCATACAATGTGTGTAGTACGTGATATATAGTACATCCTGATTGGCATGATTATAGGTGATATTTATTATTTATTTGCTCATACACAATTTGTTTCATTTACAGATACTACTGGCCCTATTTGTCAATTTTTTTATAAAGTTAACATTTCAGGTCAAAAAAAGAAAGCACTGAGGCCTCCCGTAGGTTTAGGCTCAGAATGCTCCAGAGATCTGGGGAGGAGTGGGGAGAGATGTCACATTTTAGCAAAAGAGAACACGTATGGCCCAGGAAGGGTCTATCACAGAATCTCAGAGATCCAACTCTTGACAAATCTAATGTAAAATTTTACATATATTTGCACTGAGCAGGCCATGGAACTTAACAAAGGCTATAATGCACAGCTAGAGATTGTGGTGTTATGGTGTGACTCTGTTTGGAGTTTGGAGTCAGAGAAGGCTTTCACTACATGAGAAGCCGATCACGAGACTGTATGTTTGGCAGCCCCTGGTTGCACTCTGCTCAGCATGAGCTGTGAATACACAAACGCTTTTTCAAAATCTATGACATACTGAAAAGATTTCATGCTCAATATATGCAACCAAACCAAATGCACAGACATGTGCCAAACAATCCCCAGCCCTCCTCAAAGAAAGACTACAAATAGACACACTTCTCACCAAACTGCTTTTGTTGAGAAGCATCTGTCTAATGGCTGACAAGTTTGCTAATGACATGCTTGATTCAAAGAAATGTAACATCAGAACTTCAGAATATAGCTATGTTTAAATTATAGCCCATTTTTCAGGTAATAGCTTATAAATTCTCTGAAATAAATAGTGAAGATTGTTCTCTGTTTTGGTGCAATTGTATACGATGTTTTATTTATTTTTCCAGGCGTATGTTGAGCACCTGCTATGTTTCAGCTATGCTGAGTAAGTGAGTAAGTTATGATCTGTGGACACAGGACTTAGAGTTTTGTGAGGAGAACCAACCTGTATGGGATGCTTATGATGCCGTGGAGCACAGAAGAGGGATGCTGGACACGAAAGAGCCCAGGGTTCTGAAAAACTGCTAATAGTTCTAAAAGACTGAATTGGATTTCCACTTCTGACCCCGATGGATTGAGAAGGAACTGGATTTACCTTCCTGGCATCTGAAACAACTTTAAAAACAGGAAGAATATAGAAAACAACTGTTCTCAGGCACTGCATATCAGGCAACAGAGGACAGTGATCCCTGAGATTGGGAAAATAAATGAGGTGAGCCCTGTGATTGTCCTAGCTTACTGCCTGGGAGAGAGTTTCTGGTGTGCGATTAAGAGAGTGGGAATCTGGGGGCGCCTGGGTAGCTCAGTCGGTTAAGCGTCTGCCTTCGGCTCAGGTCATGATCCCAGGATTCTGGGATTGAGCCCCACATCGGGCTCCCTGCTCAGCGGGGAGCCTGCTTCTCCCTCTCCCACTCCCCCTGCTTGTGTTCCCTCTCTTGCTGTGTCTCTCTCTCTGTCAAAATAAATAAATAAAATCTTTTAAAAAAGAGAGAGAGAGAGAGTGGGAATCTGTGTGGGCTGCGGGTGTCCGGGGAGGCTCTGGCATCTTGACTTCTCAGGCAGAGTAGCAGGGAGAGGAGTATTGCATAGGGAGAAAGTTCCGAAGACCTACAGAAGGCCCCCAGGAGTCTTCAGCTGAGTACTGATCAGCACCTGAGTATGGAGAAACTACTTAACTCCCTATCGGAGCAGAGGGAATAACCCTTGAATGAAAAGCCTTGTACTTTACAGGGCATTAGGGAGAGTATTCAAAAGAGCATTGCCTCAAGTAGTGTGGCTAAATTAGCTCTGAAATAAAGGCTGCCCATCCTGCCTAACAAAGCCTGAAAGAAACTTTGAAAACATCAAACTATTTCCAAGTGAATTAACCGCTTCCCAGAATAAAGCTCAAGGAAATATTTATAGAGATAAAAAAAAATTGCACCTAAGAAGGTAAAAATCACAATTTCTGGCATCCAGTGAAAAAGGACCAGGCATGCAAACCAGCAGGAAAATGCAATGAATAATGAGGGAAAGAAATCAATCAATAGAAACCCAGAAATGATGCAGATATCAAAATATACAAAGATAGAATTAGTAGACTAAGACATTAAAGCAGTTATTATAACTTTATTCCATAAGTACAAGAATCTAAAGGAAAGATTGAGCATGTTAAGTAGAGAAATGGAAGGTATTAAGAAAAAAACTGAACTTTTAGACATGAAAAATACATCTGTGGTGAAAAATATATTGGATGGGCTTGATAGAAGATTAGACACAACAGAAGAAAGGAGTAGTTAAGTTGAATACATAGCAGTAGAAACTAAAATGAAGCAATCAATCAAAAAAAAAAAATCTTAAAAAAAAAGGGTGCCTGGGTGGCTCAGTTGGTTGGGCGACTGCCTTCGGCTCAGGTCATGATCCTGGAGTCCCAGGATCGAGTCCCGCATCGGGCTCCCTGCTCGGCAGGGAGTCTGCTTCTCCCTCTGACCCTCCCCCCTCTCATGCTCTCTCTCTCTCTCAAATAATAAATAAATAAATAAATAAATAAATAAATAAATAAAATAAAATAAAATAAAATGAAGCAATCAGAGAAAAAGTGTTGAAAACAAAATGACCAGAGCATCAGTGAGCTATGGGACAACTTCAAGCTGCATACAGAGTTGATGGATTTATGGGTGGACACCTTGACCAAGGACTTTCTCCCTTGGAATTTTGAATTTAGAACCCAAAGAGAATCAAGCCAGTCTCATTCAGTGTGACTGTAATAAGAACATGGAAATCTTCATTGTTTTTCATCAGGTAGACTGAGAAGCAGAAGTTAGTCTGTAACAAGGGAAAAAAGATACAGAGGAAAGTAGAGATATAATCTGGAGAGAGAAATCATCAAGATTTCCAGGTCCTAGATCCAGTTTTGTTTGTTTGTTTTTTTGGTTTTTTTTAAGATTTTATTTATTTATTTATTTGACAGAGAGAGACACAGCGAGAGAGGGAACACAAGCAGGGGGAGTGAAGAGGGAGAGCAGGCTTCCTGCCGAGCAGGGAGCCCGATGCCAGGCTTGATCCCAGGACCCTGAGATCATGACCTGAGCCTAAGGCAGATGCTTAACGACTGAGCCACCCAGGCGCTCCAGTCCAGTTGTTTCTGAGCTGAGTTGTATCCCTATCTGTTCAGCTGTTTCTTAGATTCCATGAGATTTTTTGCCATATATAATGAAAAAGGTCTTAAATTATATAGAGATGATGCATTTGATTTTGGACATGTTAAAATGTTATTTGATTTGTGGATGCATGTTTGGAGTGTCTATGGAATATTGATGTGGAAATATCAACTAGGTAGGTGAATAGACTTTTCTGAAGCTCAGAATAGAAGCATGAGCCCCAAATTTACATTTTGATTCTACAGAATAAATAGAGCACCTAAATCTATAAGAGTTTACCTAAATCCATGGGATTATATGAACTCGAAAATGGAGAATATATAGAGGGAGATACAAAACCAGTGATGGAACCTGGAAAACAAGCATATTAAAAAGACAAAAAGAGCATCCAGGGAAAGACTGAGAAAGAATGTTTACCAAGTTAGGGTGAGAGCTTGATGTTGAGAAAATCAAAGGAAGGGAGAATCTAAAGAAAAGAGAAATCAGTAACACTGTCAATTTCCCGAAGGACCTAAGACATTCCTGACCCTTGATTGGCTTCCTCCATTTCTAAGCTTACTTCCTTTTTTCTGCCCATATTTACCACATATGAGTCCATATTTCCCTGTTTCTGACCTCAACATGCTAACTTAACCATAGTTATGAATCTCTTTTAGGGTAGTTTGATTTGGGCTATCTTAACCCTACATTATTCTACAATACCTAATAAGGATTAAAGACCCAATCAGAGCAGATCAACAGGAAAGAGCTTTTCCCCCAAAAGACAATTGTATGGCAGTATAACTGGGAGGCAAGGAAGGATCTGGAGAAAAGTTATTGGTTTCCATAAGAGGAAATGAGGCCTCATCAGTTTATTAAAGTTCTTTTAGGACGCACAAATGCATATGGAGAAAGCTCATGAATGGCGTCTATTTAGATTTTCAAAAAGGCTTTCACAAAGTTCCACACAAAAGGCTATTTTAAAAATTGAGTCATCATGGTATGATGGAGACTGGTGTAATGCACAGGGAAGTTGCTTAGAGACAAGAAACAATGGTTTAGGATAAAAGGGCACTTCTTGGAGGAAGAAGTGTAAACATGGCATTCCTCTCTAACTTGCTTTATTTAATATTTCTATTAGTAATTTGGAGGAGGGAAGACATAATGACACTAAGTTCTTCTGAGTATGAAAAGCTCAAGTATGTGGGGATAACCTGAAGTTAGCATGAGGCTATGTGAATAGGCTGAAAATATTGAATTGAATGGGCAAAAAAAAGTATTGAACTTAGACCAAAACACTCTAAAGTGTACTGAGAAGATTTATGTACTCATTCATTCATTAAATGGTTATTGAGGATCAATTATGTGGCCAGATATTATGCTACAATTTTGGGAGGAAATTAATAATTAAGAAGGCACTTCTCCCTGCTTTTAGAGAACTTAAATACAATAAAAAGGTTTTTCCTGAATCTTGGGAAAAGTAAATTCAAGGTGAATAAAAAAGTAGTTCACTTAATAGGAAACACATGGAGCTTAGGTTTCTAAGAGTTAAGCTGAGAAGGTTGAAAAATATAAAGAATCTCAATATTTAGATAATTTCATAAAAGACACTGCTGTGTTGGTATTGTTAAGGTAACTTAGAATATTTGTAGCTACATCCATAACATCTGGATATATTAGCGTATTAGGACCATTTGTGTTGGAAGTGACAAAATTCAAATCAAAACTAACTTTAAAAAAAAAAAAAGAAGGTAAGCCTGGCTTTAGGGGTAGCTGGGTATAGAGAGGCAGGAGATGTTATGAGAACTTGGTGTAGCTCACTCATTTTCCACCTCTCAGCTCTGTTTTTTTCTGTGTGGTTTCATTCTAAGAATATTTCCACATGGAACAAAGGTAGCCTGTATATAAGTATGGGAGATGGAAGAAATTCCAGTTTTCAATGTTCTCCACCTATGATTTTAGGAAACACTTTTTCTCCTAGCACCCATATCAGTTCCTGAAAAGAGACACCAAATGGCCCATCCTTGAACCACTCACTGTGGCCAAGAATTTGAAGTATTCTTACTGGCCAGGCCAGGGCACCACAGTGCCTCCCACAAAAGCTAGGGTGAAGGGGAGTAGTCAGACTCTCAGAGCCACACAGACTGAGAATGAGGAAGAAGTCATTTCCCAAAAAGACATTAGGCAGACAAAAAATTAGTGACAACAACTACCTACTTCTCTAAAAGATCATCATAGACCGATGACAGTTATGATAGAAGCCTTAAAGATACTCTCTCCACCATGATCCTCATCTTCTGGTATTCACACACGTTTGTAATCCCGTCTCTTTTAAATGTAGGCTAGATTTAGTGACTCACTTCTAAAGAAAAGAGTATGATAGAAGTGATGGTATGTCACTTCCGAGTTAGGTTATAAAAGACTGCAGGTTCCATCTTGGATGTTCTGACTCTTTCTAGCTTTTCCTTTGATTGCTCACCCTGTGGGGAAGCCAGCCACTATGTTGTGAGTCAGTCCTATGGAGAGGCTCATGTAAGTGAGCTTGGAAGTGGGTTTTCTTGATAATAACCAGGTGTATGAGCTTGGAAGTGGATCCTTCCCCAGTCTAGTCTTTAGATGAGACAAAAGACCTGGATGAGAGCTCAACTGCAACCTCATGAGAGACCTAGAGCCAGAGGCACCCAGCTAAGTGGTACCCAGATTCCTGACCCATGGAAATGGAAGATCATACATTTCTGTTCTTAGAAGCCACTAAGTTTGGGGGCAATTGTTAAACAGCAATAGATAACAAATACACTGGGGTTGATACAAGAAGGTAATATTTATGGTCTTATGTACAAATGACCAAAAATAGATAAATACATACAGGATAAGGCAAAAAAAATCTGTTAAAATGTCAAATGTGATTTCTGTCATTTTGAATATTGTCTGTGTTGAATGTGAAGAAAACTAAATTTCCACACCTAGAAGAAACTATCAGGGATTATTTGTATCCATGAACAGACTGAATACATAGTAGCTGCATTACAGCTTATTTATTAAATTTATTTTTTTAAGTAATTTCTACACCCAATGTGGGGCTCAAACTCATGACTGTGAGATCAAGAGTCCTGAGATCAAGAGTCGCATGCTCTCACATGCCAGCCAGGCATCCCTAAATTTAAATCTTAAATGGAGGGGCACCTGGGTGGCTCAGTCGTTAAGCGTCTGCCTTCGGCTCAGGTCATGATCCCAGGGTCCTGGGATCGAGCCCCGCATTGGGCTCCCTGCTCAGCGGGAAACCTGCTTCTCCCTCTCCCACTCCCCCTGCTTGTGTTCCCTCTCTCGCTGTGTCTCTCTCTGTCAAATAAATAAATAAAATATTTAAAAAAAATCTTAAATGGAGATACAGCTATTATAGCATTCTGTAAGTAGGTAAAGTCTAGACTTCATTATTTGGCTATGTTCTTTGCTGTTTTTCTAATTTTTTAGTCATTCAAATGAAGTTTTCAATTGTAATCTGAGATTAAAAAGAATCATTTTGCCAAGTTTCCTTTGACTCATTGTTTAAAAATTTGAAATAAATCACCACGAAGTTAAGGTCCATATAAGGTCAATGTGACTTTGTCTTTGAGATCTGTTTATGTCTTCATGTTTATAGGTTACTAAGTACCTTTCCCTGATGAAAAGTTTAAAAAAAAAAAAACAACTCCAAGTGAAAAAGAGGACTAAGTCCAATATCAAAAGGATGTTTATTCAGTTTGGAGGTTCCTCAAAAAGTTAAAAATAGATGGACTCTACGATCTAGCAATTGCACTTCTAGGTATTTACTCAAAGGATACAAAAATACAGGTTTGAAGGGGTACATGCACCCCAATGTTTATAGCAGTATTACCAGCAGTAGCTAAACTATGGAGAGAGCCCAAATGTCCATCGACTGATGAATGGATAAAGAAGATATGGTATATATACACAATGGAATATTACTCAGCCATCAAAAAAGGAAATCTTGCCATTTACAACAATGTGGACAGAGCTAGAGTGTATTATGCTAAGTGAAATAAGTCAGTTAGAGAAAGACAAATACCAGATGATTTACTCATATGTGGAATTTAAGGCAGAAAACAGATGGACCTAAGGGAAGGGGGTAAAGAAAAAAAACGAGAGAGGGAAACAAGCCATGGAGACTCTTTTTTAAAATTTTTTTAAAATTTATTTATTTGAGAGAGAGAGAGAGAAACAGCATGAGAGGGGATAGGGTCAGAAGGAGAAGCAGGCTCCCAGCCGAGCCGGGAGCCCGACGCGGGACTCGATCCCAGGGCTCCGGGATCATGACCCAAGCCGAAGGCAGTCACCCAACCAACTGAGCCACCCAGGCACCCCAAGCTGTGGAGACTCTTAATGATAGAGGAAAAAACTGAGGGTTGATGGAAGGAGGTGGGTGGGGGATGGGCTAGATGGGTGATAGGTATTAAGGAGGGCACTTGTGATGAGCATTGGGTGTTGTACATAAGTGATGAATCACTGAATTCTCCAGAAACCAATACTGCACAGTATGTTAATTAAGTAAAATTTAAATTTAAAAAAGGATGTTTATTAAAGCAAATTTTCATTAGCAGCAGCTTTACAATAAAATAAAAGATATTTTAAAGTTTATATATCTATAAACCTGGGTATAAACACCAGACTGATGTAGCCCAATAAAAAATATTAAGTTGTTATCTCTGAAAATTGAGTTGGTAATGGAAATGTTGATTACCTCCAACTGCAGTACTTATACCTGCTACTATTTTCAGAAGTTAATAGCTACCCTGGGGCATTTTTAACTTACATGTAATGTTGAGTGGGATTTTCCTATGATGATTGCCCTAATATTTCAGAAAATTCTAATTAGCAACTAATTACCATTCCACCCTGTCATCACACAACCCCCACACTGCTGCTGTAACTTCATTTCTTCAAATATGACAGATGGAGGCTCCAACAAGCTCTGATAATTATATAACACAGGGAACAACACGACCTTTGCTATTATTGCTGTAAGATACAACTGTATCCAGATAATTAGGATGCTTAATGTAGAATCCAAAACAAAGTTGATTTAATTATATATTTTGCAATATCAGTGTCTCAAAGTGAGCCGAAAATATGCCTCCCAACTTCTTATAGGCTACAACGTTATCTTTTTTTTTTTTTAAGATTTTATTTATTTATTTGACAGAGAGAGAGAGATAGTGAGAGGAGGAACACAAGCAGGGGGAGTGGGAGAGGGAGAAGTAGTCGTTCTGCTGCGCAGGGAGCCTGATGCGGAGCTTGATCCCAGGACCCTGGGATCATGACGTGAGCCGAAGGCAGCCGCTTAACGACTGAGCCACCCAGGTGCCCCCCCCCCCACCTTTTTTAAAGATTTTATTTATTACATTTTCTTTTTTTTTAGTTGAGGTAAAATTGGTGTACAACAGTATGTTAGTTTTTGTGTTTTTTTTAAGATTTTATTTATTCATTTGAGAGAGAGAATGGGAGAGAGAGCACGAGAGGGGGAAGGGTCAGAGGGAGAAGCAGACTCCCCGCTGAGCAGGGAGCCCGATGCGGGACTCGATCCTGGGACCCCAGGATCATGACCTGAGCCGAAGGCAGTCGCTTAACCAACTGAGCCACCCAGGCGCCCCAGTATGTTAGTTTTGAGTGTACAACATAATGATTTAATATTTGTATGCATGACAAAGCGAACACCGCAATAAATCTAGTTACCATCCATCACTATACAATTGACCCCCTACACCCATTTCACCCAACCCCTACCCCTCTCTTCTCAGATAACCACCAGGTTCCACATATAAGTGAAATCTTGTCTTTCTTTTCTTACTTATTTCACTTAACATAATGCCCTCAAGGTCCATCCATGTTGTTGCAAATGGCAAGTTTTCCTTCATTTTTTTTTTTCTTTAAGATTTTATTTATTTATTTGACAGAGACACAGCGAGAGAGGGAACACAAGCAGGGGGAGTGGGAGAGGGAGAAGCAGGCTTCCCGCTGAGCAGGGAGCCCGATGCGGGGCTCAATCCCAGGACCCTGGGATCGTGACCTGAGCCTAAGGCAGACGCTTAACGACTGAGCCACCCAGGCGCCCCACGATATCCTTCATTTTTATGATTGGGTAGTAGTCCATTGTGTACACACACACACAAACAATGGATTATTACTTCACTGTATATATAAAAAATCATATATATATAAAAAATCTTTACCCATTCACCCATTAATGTACATTTAAGTTATTTCCACTGGCTATTGCAAATAATGCTGCAATGAACTTAGGGGTGTCTAGATCTCTTCAAATTAGTGTTTTCATTTTCTTCAGATACTCACAAGTGAAATAGGTAGATACATGGTAGTTCTATTATTTTTTTTTCTTACTATTTTCCACAGTGGCTGCACCAATTTACATTCCCACCAAGAGTGCACAAGGGTTCCCTTTTCTCCACATCCTTGCCAACACTTGTTATTTATTGTCTTTTTGATAATAGCCATTCTAACAGTTGTGAGGTGATATCTCATTTTGACTTTGGTTTGTATTTCCCTGATGATTAGTGATATTGAATATCTTTTTATGTTCTTGTTGGGCATCTGCATATCTTCTTTGGAAAAATGTCTCGTTAAATCCTCTGCCCATTTTTAAATTGGATTGTTTGGGGTTTTTTGCTGTTGAGGTGTTTGAGTTCTTTATATATTTGTATATTAACCCCTTATTGGATGTATGACTTGCAAATATTTTCTCCCATTCAGTAGGTTTCCTTTTCATTTTGTTGATGGTTTCCTTTGCTCTGCAGAAGCTTTTAGTTTAATGTAGTCCCAGTTGTTTACTTTTGCTTTCATTGTCTTTGCTTTTGGAGTCAGATCCAAAACTTTAATGCCAATACCAGTATGTCAAAAGAGTTTTATGGTTTCTCCTCAGAGTTTTGTGGTTTCAGGTCTTACATTTAAGTCTTTGATCCATTTTGAGTTAATTTTTTTGTATGGCGTATCATTCTTTTACCTGTTGCTGTCCAATTTCCCTAATACAATTTATTGACTGTCTTATCCCCATTGTATATTTTAGGCTCCTTTGTGGTAAATTAATTTACCATATATGTGTGGGTTTTATTTCTGGCTCTCTATTCTGTTAATCCGTGTGTCTGTTTTTATACAAATACAATACTGTTTTGGTTACTATAGCTTTGTAGTGTAGTTTGAAATCAGGGAGCATGATACCTCCAGCTTTGTTCTTCTTTCTCAAGATTGCTTTAGCTATCAGGATTATTTGTGGTTCCATACAAATTTTAGAATTATTCTAGTTCTGTGCAAAATGCTATTGGAATTTTAGTAGAGATTTCATGAAATTTGTAGATTGCTTTGGGCAGTATGGACATTTTAACAATATTAATTCTTCCAATCCATGAGCATGGAATATATTTTGTGTTCTTCAATTTCTTTCATCGGTGTTTTTCATCTATACGAGTCTTTCACTTCCTTGATTAAATTTATTCCTAGGTATTTAACTTTTTTTTTCTTATTAAGTAATCTCTATGCCCAGTGTGGGGCTAAAACTCATGACCCCAAGACCAAGAGTCGCATGCTCCACCAACTGAGTCAGTCAGGCACCTTGGTATTTAACTGTTTTTGATGCAATTATAGATGGGATTGTTTTCTTAATTTCTCTTTCTGCTAGTTTGTTATTAGTGTATAGAAATGCAATAGATTTTTGCATACTGATTTTGTATCCTGCAACTTTATTGAATTCATTTATTCTAACAAATTTTGGTGGAGTCTTTAGGGTTTTCCATATATATAGTATCATGTTATATGCATAAAGTGATAGTTTTACTTATTCTTTTCCAATTTGGATGTAATTTGTTTTCTTTTTCTTGCCTAATTGCTACAGCTAGGACTTCTAATACTGTGTTAAATAAAAGTGGCACGAGTGAGAGCATCCTTGTCTTATTCTTGGCCTTAGAGGAAAGCTTTCAGTGTTTTATCGAGTATGATGTTAGTTGTGGGCTTGTCATATATGGCCTTTTTTATGTTGAGGCCTTTATTATGTATACCCACTTTGCTGAGAATCTTTATCACAAATGGATGTTGAATTTTGTCAAATGCTTTTGCTGTATTTATTGAGATGATCATATGATTTTTATCCTTCATTTTGTTAATGTGGTGTATCATGTTGAACGACTTGGGAGTATTGATCAATCCTTGCATCCCTGGAATAAATCTCACTTGATCATTGTGTATAATCCTTTTTTTTTTTTTAAAGATTTTATTTATTTATTTGAGAGAGAGAGAATGAGAGAGAGCAAGCACATGAGAGGGGGGAGGGTCAGAGGGAGAAGCAGACTCCCTGCCGAGCAGGGAGCCCGATACAGGACTCGATCCAGGGACTCCAGGATCATGACCTGAGCCGAAGGCAGTCGCTTAACCAACTGAGCCACCCAGGCGCCCGTGTATAATCCTTTTAATGATGTATAGTTGAATTAAGTTTGCTAATAGTTTGTTGAAGATTTTTTTCATCTGTGCTCATCAGGGATATTGGCCTGTAAATTTTTTTTTTTTTTTTTTTTGTGGTGTCCTTGTCTGGTTTTGGTATCAAGGTAATGCTGGCCTTATAATGAGTTTAGAAGCCTTCCTTCCTCTTCAATTTTTGGTGGAGTTTGAGAAGGACAGGTACCTATTAAATCTCCTTTGAATGTTTGTTAAAATTCACTCAGTGAACGATCTGGTCCTGGACTTCTGTTTGTTGGGAGGTTTTTGATTACTGATTCAATCTCCATACTAGTAATCAGTCTATTCAGATTTTCTGCTTCATGACCCAGTCTTGGAATATTGTCTGTTTCTAGGAATTTATCCATTTCTTCTATGTTGTTGAGTTTGTTGGCATATAATTGTGCATAATAGTCTCATGATCCTTTGTATTTCTGTGGTAACAGTTGCTATTTCTCTTTAATTTCTCATTTTATTTATTTGAGCCTTGTCTCTTTTTTCTTGGTGCATCTAGGTAAAAATTTGTTAATTTTGTTTATCTTTTCGAAGAACCAGCAATTAGTTTCACTGATTTTTCTATTTTTTTTTTAGTCTCTATTTCATTTATTTCTGCTCATATCATTGTTATTTCCTTCCTTCTCCTAATGTTGGGCTTCATTCGTTCTTCTTTTTCTAGTTCCTTTGAGTGTAAAGGTAGATTGTTTATTTGATACTTTTCTAGTTTCCTGAGGTGGGCCTCTATCACTATGAACTT